AAATCGCAAAAAAAGAAGGATAAGGGGTTCTTGAAGGCCGGAAGGTCAAGAATCACCTGAAGCGACGATGGAAACGAAGGTGGTGTGGAAGCAGCTGGCTGGCTAGGCCTTTGGCAGCCCTTGCCACGAGGGCGCCCAGGCGACCTGGAGTCCCCGGACGTCACGAAGCCCTGGAAAAGGAGAGAAAAAGGGCGCGCAGTCAATCTTGGCGTATTTCCTGGCTCCTGAAGAGATATCGCGATGCAAGACGCGATATTCTTGGATGGGAGGACGATGGGGGAGGGTTGGGTGTCGGGAGGATGAAAGGGAGAGAGCGAGGTTGCCTCACCCGCGATTGGGCTCGAGTTTTCTTAGCGCTGTTTATTCTGCACTCAGAGTTGGGCGGTGAGACGCGAAGGGGCGGGCGTTTTAAAGGGGTACCGGGTTCACCGCCTGTCATTCACTTCTTTCTGCCATTCAATCATTCACCATTATTCACTCTGCTCTGATTGTGTTAGTGTTCTGTTGTTGCCCCTGCCACCAGTGAATACCCAGACTGCTGGATGCTTCACGCCCAGCGAATAGCCTGGCCTTTCTCTCAGGCTGGGAAATCCTCAGCACAATGAATCTGTCGCTCATTGATCCGTTTGTCCTGGCGCAGGACTACCCAGACAGCTTGACAGAGAAGCTGAGTATGCATTTCTCAGTCATGGTACTAGAAGACTCTACTAATTAGGATCATGTAGGAAGTGGCCATGCGACTTGTCTACGATTCAATCACAAGGGCGACTACCTGGCCTCCGGACGAGTTCGTACCCTCCTACAAATAATGTGAAGCAGAGTTGACCAGTTGCAGGTGGACGGTGTGGTGGCGATCTTTGACATTGAAACAAACGGGGTGTCCCGCAAGCTGCGTGGTCACACGCGCCAGATCCAGTCCATCAGGTATGCATGGCGTAGGTACACAGAAAACATCAAATCTCTGACACGCTTGACAGCTGGTCGAGGGACGGCCGATATCTCCTCACCTCCTCACAAGACTGGAAGTGCATCCTGTGGGACTTGAAAGATGGCTCGCGCGTGCGCACAGTCCGGTTCGAGGCTCCGGTGTACATCGCCGAGCTACACCCATTCAACCAGTATGATATTCGTTCCCCAAGAAAGCGAGCGAGGGCGTTAGCCAGAGCTAATTCTATTATCATCCAGTCTCCTCTTTGTGGCCTCCCTCTTCGAAGACCAACCCGTCCTCGTGGACGTTTCCTCCCCGAAGCCAATCAAGCGCATCCTCCCCTCCGCACCGCTCCGTCCACAGCCCACCGACGGCGACGATGTCGACCCAGCCGTGGCAGCACGACAGGCCGCCCAAGATGCAAAACAGTCCACCTGTGTAACGATCTTTACGGCGCTGGGGAACCACATCATTACGGGGTCCTCGAAAGGGTGGATCAACATCATCGAGACGCAGACGTGCTCAACGATCCATTCCATGCGACTATGCGCTGGAGTCGTGATCCTGCTCCGCCTCGCCAGCAACGGGCGCGACCTGCTAGTCAACAGCTCCGATCGTGTAATCCGCACGGTGCTAATGCCGGACCTATCACGGCTAGGCATCGACCTCGAGCCATCCAGCATCAAGCTACAGGTCGAACACAAGTTCCAAGACGTGGTCAACCGGCTCAGCTGGAACCACGTCACCTTCTCGGCGACGGGCGAGTTCGTCACAGCGACCACATTCATGAACCCGGACATCTACGTCTGGGAACGCAGCCATGGGTCGCTGGTCAAAATCCTCGAAGGCGCGCGTGAGGAGCTCGGCGTGGTAGAATGGCACCCGTCGCGGCCGATGGTGGTAGCCTGCGGACTGGAGTCCGGCTGCGTGTACATATGGTCGGTCGTGAGTCCACAGAAATGGTCCGCGCTGGCGCCGGACTTTGGCGAAGTCGAGGAGCAGGTCGAGTACGTCGAGCGCGAGGATGAGTTTGATATCCACCCGGCCGAGCAGGTGCATCAGCGCCGTCTGGACCAGGAGGACGAGGTCCCGGACGCCATCACCCTCGACCCGGTCAAGGGGTATACGGATCTCGACGCGCTGGATAGCTTCCGCATGCCGGTCCTGCTGGACATCTCTGATAGCGAAAGCGGCGAGGATATCATCGCCGTTGGCCCGGGGACTATGCGTCGCCGTACCCCCGGCGCTGGGAATGCTGATGCCGATGCTAACAGCGTCGTCCGTGGCGCGGGCAGACGTCGGAGATGAATGGACGATAACTCGGATATATCTTATTTGCATGGACTGGCGTTCAAAAGGGATCGGTGGTGGGAATATGATTGACTACAATTGGCGTTTCGAACCTCTTTACAGGCGTGATGATGGGTGTGGTGGGATGAGGTTCACAGCATATATTTGCACATGAATATCCCAGGAGCCATGAATAACTACATCTAGCAGATCCGCATTTTCATATATGTAAACCACTGGACGGCTGATTTCAAAAACAGGATTATTTCTCTGGCTAGCAAAGACAAGATCTCCCCGACGACACAAGCTGGGTATATATATCACACAGAGACAAACTCAACGCCATAGAAATGCTTGAGACGATAGACACAAAAAGCAAGCCGTGAATGGGTGAGTTCCATTCTCTGCCAAGGAAAACCATTGGAAATTCCTCACTGGCTGTCGCGAGTAAACGTAGTCAGAGTTATTCAGAGTGGTTGCTTGGGTTTCGTAGCCCAGCCGCTGATAATTCCTGATTCCTTTTGCCACAATTGTCAGGACCCTGTCTGGGAGCCAGTCCTTCGCCCTTTGATATCTAAGGGGGATTTGTGTAGAAGAGCAATGGGGTAGGAATTCGTGGACAAATATTTTGAGAGCTTGGTGTTCAGGTGGGTTCGTTATAAATCATGAAAGGCTCCGCGTTGACAGTGTTGGGGATGTAACGGCCTGGAAACCCTGCGAGTGTCGATCTGCTGCTGACATCGTCACTGACGAGATGAGCCAGCCCGTGTCCAGCGAACGGTGATCAACTCTGCGGTAGACCGAATTGGCTGAATATGTTGATCTGGCAAGATATACCCCACACACAGGCTCGGAAGAGCAACTCGCTCCCTGCTCCGCAGGATCAATTGGTTGTGACCGTGACCGTGGTCGCGGCTGTGGCTGTGGCCGTGGCTGCTGGCTTCCGCGCCTGATAGATGTGAAGGATGTTATAGCAATGGAGATCCTTATTGAAAGCCTCCGACTTGACATCTGCGGCCAGGCGCTGGATCTTATCGACAGGCCACTTGTAGACCCGGCTGAAGGGAGCCAGGCTGAGCGGCTCGATGCTCTCGGAGATGGCGAGGTTATACCAACGCGCAACCTTGCGCTCATGTTCGTCCTGGTGCCAGGGATTCAAGGGCAGTCCGACCATCTGGTGATCGATCTCGGTGAAGCCTGCTTCCTGTAGATTCCGGATCGTCTCCCGGGAGCTGTGTACGATGGGGCGCGAGGTCGACTCTGTGGCATGTTTCAGCGATTGATACCAGTGCCGCAGCGCCAGCCCGCTCAGCGAGCGGTCGTCACAGCGCGGCTCGAAGTCGATTTCCACCTGCTCGAACCACGCGCCCGGACGCAGATGCGAGAAGATCCGTCGGTAGAGACTGGGCCAGCTGACAATGCTGCCACTGCCCATCTGCATGTGGATGAGATCCCAGGAATCCTCGCCCAGCGCCCAGGGGCTTTCGAAATCAAATGGTGCGTAGAAGTCGCAATTCTTCGGATGGTTCTGCGGTTGAATGGGTGCCAGGTCCACACCCACCACGAACGACTCCGGGTACTTCTGAGCCACTTCGATGCTCCAGATTCCCGTGCCGCAGCCCAGGTCCAAGATGCGGGAGCTAGGCGGGTGGGGGGCATAGATCAGGCCATCGGATACGCGAGCTACGGTAAAGAGCTTGTGGAAGATATCGAGGCGGTCCTGTTCCTCGTCGTCACAGGGGAGTAGGTACGTTCCTTTCCGATAGCCATGGTATGTTCGCCCATTTTCCGAGTAGCACGGATATCGCTCGGGGTATCTGCAAATCAATGAGACCAGTCAGTCATTTGCCTTAACAGACCAGAAAATGAAGAAAACATACTTGCGTCCGGGCGTCAGCGCGCGTGGTGAATGAGATGATGGCTGGGAGGGATGCGACGCGACCGAACCATTGCTGCTATACCAGCGGTTGTCGCGGCGCTCTCGCTCGACGGGATCTTTATTGGTGATGGAATAGATATCCATGGCTGTGGAGGTCTGTCTGGAACGGCCCCGCTCACTTGGCTGGGCCGATTGTGAGAGGTGGTACCGTGAACGACCCGCGTCACTGGACGGGAGCGACTCGGACTTGTAGCGCTTGGGCGGCGGCGAGTCCATTGGGGGCAACAGCCGGTGTTTGCCCTCCCCATTGGTAGGCATTGCGAAAGGGAAGCGAGGGTCGGTATCCGGCGAATTCCAATGTGGGATGGGGAGGGGCTCGGTCGTACAAGAGACCTGAAACGGGTGCAGCACAGAGCATCTGCGAGGATGGACCTGCAATCAACCCGACGAGCCAAACCAGTTGGGCAGCGGATGGGATAATAATAGGAGGCGGCGAGTGCGCGACCGCTGTCGTGGGCAGTGGTCACGACTCCCAGCGCCGGGGATTGAGAGAGGGGAAGGGACCGACCACCGAGACTAAACCCTTGGCTTGACAGAGTCCGGGCCCCCAGGGGTAGCAATGGGGATGAAGGGCGGTGTGTGGATGGGGGAGAAGCAGGAGCGAAGGAAAGAAAGAAGAAGAGAAGAGAAGGGAAGAGCAGGGATGTGTCTGCAGAGGAAGTCACTAGTCGAGGGGCCAACCCTACTGCTCTGGGCCTCACTAATTAGGAAGGACATAAGTACAGGTCGTGGTTACAGTTGAGATACATCATGCCTGACTAACAATGCTCGGATTCCGTCCGAACGGAGCTATTGTATAGTAGTTGGTGGGGCCTCGTTTTTTAGACTTCGCATTGACCGGCGATGCACACTCTGACGCCCATTGCGGCCTCCTCGCTGTCGCTGCCCACGGACAGCTACATCTACTCCATCACCCCAGCTGCGCCCGGTTCCTTCGCTGCCATCTCCTCGGATGACTCGCTGCGCGTGTTTGATGCTGCCAACCTCAATCGTGGGTCGGTGGTAGCACCCAAAACCCACGACGGGGGCGTCACGGCCCTGCGCACCTACAGCTCGGGGGATGCCCAGCTGCTAACCACGGCAGGTCGGGATGGCCGACTGAGGTTGTGGGATGCTCGGGCCGGGAATGGCTCGGCGGTGGTGGAAATGGAGACGGGTAGGTTTCACACGGAAGAAAATGACCCAACCACAAACTCATCGTCGGCAGTGAAACATGCTCCCGTGCTCTCGGTAGCCTGTCACGCAGAGACCAACACCGTCGTCGCCGGGACAGAACTGGTGTCTTCGCAGGCAGTCGTGGCATTTTGGTGGGTTTGGGGATCTGGAATTCAACCCTCTCGCCTCTAACACCTCCGCCAGGGATATCCGATCTCCGACAGTGTGCCGGCTACAGTACGTGGAGAGCCACAACGACGACATCACCGAGGTAAGGATCCGTCTCCCAGCGACCTACAGGCCTGGTCTGTAACACATACACCCAGCTCCAATATCACCCGACCCGCAGCAACATCTTACTCTCCGGCAGCACGGACGGGCTAGTCAACATCTACGACACGACCATCACCGACGAGGATGACGCCCTAGTGCAGGTGATCAACCACGGCTCGGTCCACCACGCCGGCTTTCTGTCCGAGCGCACCATCTACGCCCTGAGCCACGACGAGCTCTTCTCCGTGCACCCGGCCACGGACCCGGACGAGCCCACGCAAGAGCCCGAGCCCGTGCACTTCGGGGACGTGCGTCAGCCGCTTGGTTGCGAGTACATCGCGCAGCTGTGCATCGGGGGCCAGGGGCCGTACATTGCTGCCGGGAACAAGGCGTAAGTGTCCCTCAGAGAAAAAAAAAAAAAGAAAAGAAAGAAATTGGGGCTGAATTATTTATAGTGATCAACGCTTGGATTTGATCCCCCTTGTCTCGGACCCGACATGGCGGTTTGACCAGGATAGCCTGTGGCGCCTCCCCGGGGCCCACGGCGAGGAGGTCGTACGCTCGGTGTATTTGGATGAACAGGTATGTTTAGGCTCCAGCCAATGGCCCCGGCAGCTAACTCATGTTGTCGTTTCTTGCAGAGCCAATCCGTGTTCACCTGCGGCGAGGACGGATTTGTGCGGGTGTGGAAACCGGCAGATGATGATGTCCAAGCTCCTGCGGAGGCGGCAAAGAGCGCACGGCCCAAGGAGAAGAGGCAGAAGGATCGCTTTAAGCCGTATTGAGAATTGGCAGGTGGGGTGTAGCTCTGGGTTGCAGTGATTTCTTCGGCTGTGTAGCGTTAGGAGTTGGCAGGACATAAAAATAGAAGGAATGGAGTGACTTTGATGTATTTGGCCTGGGACGGATCTGGTGTTAATGTAGGTCGTAGTGTTAAGAGTTGTGTCAATTTAAGGCCGCAGTTGGCTAAGATATATATCCGCAAGGTGTGTAATGAGTTCAGCAGCTTTTCAAACAAACCTTTGGTCTTTGATATTTCAGGAGATAGGAGTATTCCGATATACCTCCCAACCAAATCTATTTATCCATCTATATGTCTGAACCGGACGGTATAAATGCTCGCCCGACAATGTAGATCCACTACTTCGCCCTAGAAAGAGGCCCCGGTGCGGAGACATAACTGTAGACCCGGATTTGTAATCTCCAACTACATATTGCAGTCTGTTTTCAACGCCCCAGAATTTCACTGGTTCATTGAAACTAAACATGACTTCCCTAATTGTCCGTATCCCAGAGGGAGAGGCCCCCAAACTCGCCCAGGAACAACTCCCGCTCCCTCGCCCCGTCGCCGGACAAGTCCTCGTCAAGGTGTCACATGTAGCCCAGAATCCCACGGACGGTATGTTAGATGTTACCTGTTCTTCTGCTTTGTTGGTTGAGGAAGTTAGTAATGTATTCTGTATTCCAGTCCAAAGCTTCGACGTAAATGCATTCGGGGACGGCGCCGTGCTGGGCTGTGACTTTGTCGGCGAGGTCACCGAGCTGGGTAGCGGAGTTACTCGTCTGGCCAAGGGCGATGTTATTGCAGGGTTGATTTGGGGAGGTGAATAAGTTCTTTCAAGTCAAAGCCAGACTGACTGTATTATCGGAATCTAACTCTTTTTAACAGGGGAGATCCCCGGTCTCGGCGCGTACAGCGAATATACCATCGCAGACGAGCGGATCTCGTTCAAGGTGCCGGCGGCGAATATCTCCAAGGCACAAGCGAGCACGGTGCCCTTGGCAGCGGCCACCGCCTGGCTTGCGCTGTTCTCCAAGGAGTGTCTGAACATAGATCGCTCCCAGGCGGAAGGGACTAGTGTGCTGGTGTGGGGTGCTAGCTGTGAGTGAACATACAGCCCCAATATATATCCCGGATGATCCGAATAATTCGCTAACGAATAACTAAATCCCAGCAAGTGTCGGTCTCTACACCATCCAACTGGCCGCTCTCCTCGGCTTCGAAGTAGTCGCAACCTGCAGTCCTCGCAACGCCGACCTCGTCCGAACCCACGGAGCCAAACATGTCTTCGACTACAACGACGCAGACGTAATTGACCACATCACCAAGGTTGGCCCCCACCTGCAGTACATCTTTGACACCATTGGCAACGCCAATTCCTCCAGGATTGCGTCCGGGGCGTTGGGGGGCCGCGTCGGGCATCTCTGCACCGTTAGACCGGGCAAGGCTAACACGGAGCATGTCGCGCCGAACACGCATGTCACGGATGTGCTGGTGTGGACGTCTTTCTTAAAAGATCATAGCTATGGCCCGTTCCGTTGGCCGGTTAGTGATTGTCTTAATTATGCATTCTTTTTGTTGAGAAATATGCTAATGTAGAGGAATAGGCCTCCAAGGAAGACCATGAGCTGGCGAGCGAGTTGTTTGAGAGTCTACCCGCATGGCTAGAGCAGGGACGGATCCAGCCGAATCCGACTAAGCTGTTTCATGGTCTCGACAGTGTGGTCCAGGGCTTTCAGGAATATCGGGATGGAAAGATCTCGGCGTACAAGATTGTCTATGAGGTCTGACTAGGCATGGCCCATTAATAGCAAGTTGGGGTACGTGTCAGACCATCCCTGCTATACCAGCAGGTGTTATGCGTCGAATGTGGTCACATAGGCAAAATAGAGAAAATAGAGAAAACGTGCCTTTGATGTATGTGTTGGGCGATGAGTGAATGAATCATCCCGCCGGCATCGGGGCGGGAAGGAAAGGAAAAAAAAAGCAACGGGAGTGACACTGACTCAACAACACACCACCTAACTACCCAACGGCCCATCCCTGTTCCCTGCCCCGGTTCAGGGGATTTCTCACCACTAGCTTGGCTCTCTTTCTCTCTTCCTCCCTTCCCACCACCCACCACCATCATCATGGCGACTCCCTTCCTTATCGCCTACGACCCCTCCACCCCCACGTCCGGCCTCTCCCTCAAGCAGATCGCCTACTTCGGCCGCGTACTGATCAAGCCCTCCAACCTCGCCCAAGCCGAACAGTTCCTGCGTCAGAACTTCCGTCTCCTCGATGTCGTCGTCGACGCGACCGACATACCCTCCGCCGGCGACCTGGTCGATGTCCTCAATGCCGGCGCCATCAAGATCCTGATCTCCCTCGACCAATTGACCGCCCTCTCCGCGGAGCAGTCCGTTCCCTCGTCGCGGTTGATCGTCTACACTACATCCGACGCCCAATTGAACAGCCTCGAGCAGTGGATGGTGGCCAACGTCAACGAGCGGGACAGTGTCTGTGTTGCCACGGAGCCCGCGGCTGTCTCGGCTGCTGCGGCGCTGTTGAAGATCCCCGCCGACGCTCAGCGCATCTACGCAACCCATAACTCCGAGAAGGTCTCGGAAGATGCGATCAAGCAGACAATGCAGAATGGCGCAATTGCTATCATCCCCTCACAAGTACTCACTGTCGAGCGCAACGTTGCCGACAAGATCTCTGCCGCGAACCTTCTCGCGTCGCGCCTCGTGACCGACCAGGCGAATGGTCTGTACGAGACATCCGTCACAGACGAGCGTGGCTCGTGTCTGGGCGCCGTCTGGAGCAGCCACGAGAGCATTGCCGAGGCGCTCCGCACAGGGACGGGTGTCTACCAGAGCCGCAAGCGCGGGTTGTGGTACAAGGGCCAATCGAGCGGCGATGTGCAGGAGTTGATTCGGATTGGATTTGACTGTGATGCGGACTGTCTATGCTTTGTGGTTAAGCAAATTGGACGAGGTGAGTGCCGTTTGGTTTAGATGATGTGTCTATGCTAACCAAACAACAGGCTTCTGCCACCTCGGGACAGAATCCTGCTTCGGGGCCTCTACCGGTCTTTCTCGTCTTCAGAAGACTCTCCAGGCTCGCAAGGCAGACGCTCCTGCCGGGTCTTATACGGCACGCTTGTTCAATGAGCCTAAGCTCGTGGAGGCTAAGATTATGGAGGAAGCCGAGGAGCTGTGCCGGGCCAACACCAAAGAGGAAATTGCTTTTGAGGCTGCGGATCTGCTGTACTTCGCCCTGACCAAGTGCACGGCTGCTGGCGTCAGCCTGGAGGATATCGAGCGGAATCTCGACCTGAAGAGTTTGAAGGTGAAGCGGAGAAAGGGCGATGCCAAGGGTCCTTGGGCTGAGAAGGCTGGTCTGGCTGAATCCAAGCCTGCCCCTGCCCCTGCCAATCCTGAGCCACCGGTGGAGGACCGCACAACCCGCCTGGAGATGAAGCGCGTGGTTACCGCTACCACTGCCCCCGAGGTGGTCAATGAATACCTCAAGCGACCATCTCAAAAGTCCAACGATGCCATTGTTGGTCTTGTCAAGCCGATCATTGAGGATGTTCGTGACAACGGCGACGCTGCGGTGCTCAAGTATACCCACAAGTTCGAGAAGGCTACGTCGTTGACCTCCCCGGTCATCCAAGCGCCCTACCCACCCGAGCTGATGCAGTTGACGCCCGAGGTCCAGGAGGCAATTGACATCAGCATCGGCAATATCCGGCGTTTCCACGCCGCACAGAAGGGAGGCAACGAGGACCTCACGATGGAGACCATGCCTGGTGTGGTCTGCTCTCGCTTCTCGCGTGCCATCGAGCGCGTTGGCCTGTATATCCCCGGCGGCACGGCCGTGCTACCCTCCACAGCCATGATGCTTGGCGTTCCGGCCATGGTGGCCGGCTGCAAGAAGATTGTGCTCGCCTCGCCGCCCCGTTCCGACGGCAGTATCTCACCCGAGATCGTCTATGTTGCGCACAAGGTCGGTGCCGAGAGCATTGTCCTAGCCGGAGGCGCCCAAGCCGTGGCCGCCATGGCGTACGGCACCCAGAGCATCAGCAAGGTGGACAAGATTCTAGGTCCCGGGAACCAATTCGTGACCGCCGCCAAGATGCTCGTATCCAACGACACCTCCGCGGGCGTCAGCATCGACATGCCCGCTGGACCCAGCGAGGTCCTAGTGATCGCCGACAAGGCCGCCAACCCGGCCTTCGTGGCCTCCGACCTCCTGAGCCAAGCCGAGCACGGCGTTGACTCGCAGGTGATTCTCATTGCCGTGGGTCTGGCCGAGTCCGAGCTGCGCGCTATCGAGGACGAAGTCGACAAGCAGGCCAAGGCTCTGCCACGCATGGACATCGTCCGTGGCTCCCTTGAGCACTCGGTCACCTTCGCCGTGCGCGACATCACCGAGGCCATGGCCCTGAGCAACGCGTACGCGCCCGAGCATCTCATTCTGCAAGTGGAGAACGCCGAAGCGGTCGTTGAAACCGTCCAGAATGCTGGTAGCGTGTTCATCGGCCCCTGGACCCCGGAGAGTGTGGGTGATTACTCGGCTGGTGTCAACCACTCCCTGCGTAAGTTTTTCTCTTCCTCCCTTTATTCTTCCCAGTTGATAACTAACTGGAATGGAATGGAATTAGCTACCTACGGCTACGCGAAGCAATACTCCGGCGTGAACCTCGGCTCCTTCTTGAAGCACATCACCAGCTCGAACCTGACCAAGGACGGCTTGATGGGTCTGTCCAAGACCGTGGAGACGCTCGCTGCGCTTGAGGGCCTGGATGCCCACAAGCGCGCGATCAGTATCCGTGTTGCTCAAATTCAGCAGAATGGGGCATGAACCATGTGTCGTGTCATGCACGATGCGCAATGAATATGGATGGAAACTTTATTTTCTGTCCAGAAAAGTTGTGGACGAGGCTTGGCTGGGCTTTCGTTTTTAATGATTTGTTGATGATGATTTTCGGTAGCAATACATAAATAGAACCTGTTTCGAAGACCAAAAAAAGTGTCATAACGGAGCCTTGCATAGTACACGCTGAATGATCTCTACAACATGAGTCAAGTAAATGTAGATCAAAAGACAAACAGAACCCAAAAAAACCATGATACCCTTCGATAGCAGTCAGTACAGCCAGTAATCAATCAAAACAAGCCAAATGCAAAGCAAAAACAAATGAATCAAAACTGCGCTTCGTTAAGAATCTGCACTTCCTGGCCCGGCTTAAAAGCTGGCATACCCAGATAGGGACAGCCATCACAGCGGAACGCATCACCCAAAGCACAGCTCCCACACGAGCCCGTCTTGCCCTGCACTGTGAAATCGAGCTCGTTCAGATCATCCGACTGCAGCTTCAGCACGTTCAGATCATTATCTGCCTTCTCGCGCCGCTCTTTATCCTCTGCTTCCAGCCGGTCTGCGAGACCACATGTGCAGTCTTTGCAGGCGCGGCGGCGGCGGCCCGTTTTAGGTTGGCATTCCGGGGCTAGATGGGCATATTTGTTAGTGCATGTTGATAAAATAAAGGAAATAGGTGAAGAAGGAGGAGATAAACGTACGGGGCATGATGGGTCGTGACAGGTCTTCGTCGTCAAGAAGGGAATCCTCGTTAATCAGCTCGTCGTCGTCGTCATCGCGGTCATTATTATTTGTCGGGTCGATGATACCCATCATTGGCGGGGCAGGGGCCGGAGGAGTAGTTTTCTTAGGGATATTTTTCTTTGCGCCAAAGCGTAGTGGCACAGCCGCCGAAGCGTCGTGGTTTGGCTTCTCAAACCCAGAAGGTGTCTGCACCAGTCCTGCCAAAACCGCCTCCATTGTCTCAGCCGGCCCAAACCCGCTATCCTGCGTCTGTAGCTTCGCACCAGGCTTCATGGCGGGGACGAGGGCAGCATAGACGCCCCGATCGAGTAGTTGCAGTGCCTCAGTTCGTCGGGAGCCGTCTGTGCCTGTCACGAGGAGGACGAGGTCGTATGTGTTGGCGGGTAAGGAGACCACGCCAGCAGAGAGGCGGTCAAGCATTTGGAGGTCGGTGGTGGTGCGGTCGAAGGTTGCGAAGAGGGCGTGTAGGTTTGATTCTTCGGTGGCGATGGAGGGGGGTGCGAGGAGAAGAGTGCGCTTCTGTGAGATTGGCGCCGAGGGGATCGCCATATCGACGTCCGAGGCGTCGATGGTCACGACGGAGGGAGCCATGGTGATTTGTAAAAAGAAAGGATGGACTTAGGAAAAGAAGATCAAAGATGGAGGGGTGGCGGATCTTTTGATAAGGGATGAGTCAGCGGGGATTATTAATTCGATGTTGCTGGAGAGGAACAGACGGGGCTCTTCTTAGGGGAAATAGATAAATAAAAAGTGTGGAAGTTGTGAAGCGAATATTTCCACATTCACTGGGTAGTATTTAACTCTGGTGGACATACATACTGCTACATATACTGGACTGAGAAGGACTACGAGGTACTGCCCTCCGGTGCCGGAGCCCACGGATTATCAATCGCAACGCTATAAATGGCACCATACTTAGTTTAGTTTACCCTCTGGACTTAGTTAGCGTAGAAGAGAATAGCCTAGATTGCTTTTTGGTTACACCATATACCGGAACGCCTATTGGTTATGCAAGGTATCAATATGTACAGCCCAGAAGGTCATCAAAGTGTAAAGCGTCAGGGCTAGCGCTTGCGCTCCCGGATCTTCCACTTGATGCCATGCTTGTTCGTGCCTCCCACCGAGTTGTCCATCCGCGCCCGCTGCCAGTCAAGTTCCTGCTCGGCAGCCTGGATCTCAGCGTATTGTTTGCGCAGCGCAGCCAGTTTACTCTCACGGGTCTCAGCAGCCCGTTTCCGGAGTTTGCGGGCCCGTCGGGCCTCGACCAGTGCTTGCCGCTCCTTCTCGAGCTGCTTGGGTGTCTTCCGAGAGGTTGTCTGTTCCTTGTCGTCCTCCTCATCTGTCCTATCATCCTGCAGACGGTGTTTTTTCAATGCCTGCTGTTGCTGCCGATCATCCGCAAAGACTGTCTTGCGGGGCTTCTTCGGAGCAGATCCAAAGTCGATCTCGTCGTCGAGTCCATCAAACTCGTCCTCCTCAGATTCCTCGTCATGCTGACCTTTCCCATCTAGCACCTCGCTCATCCCACCCTGAAGCTGCACATCGCGCTCCACACGCTCCATCTCTCGACGCACCCGCTCCCCGACTGTGCGCAAATAACCCTTATCCTGCGTCTTGAGTAGCTTGATTGCATCGTGACTCAGTCCGCGCGCAGCAGCCGAGTCCCGTCCCACACCTTTCCCCTGTCCGTGCCGGCCTTGCACATGATTCCGGTCTCCCATCATGCCAAAGGCGAATTCATCCGGGTTGCGATCGCGCGCTTTTTCTTCCAGACGCTTGATCTTGGATTTTTTGGCATTGTAGTCTTTGGCGCGGAGGGAGTAGTCCTGACAAGTGTACACAGTTAGATTGCGTTTTGTGGAAAGGCTTCGAGGGAAATAGTTACTTTGTGCTTCTCAAGAATACCCCATTTCTCACGCCCGCTGAGCTGGCCACGCTCGCGGTGTTGCCGTCGCTGGACGGCATTGCGCATGGAGGACATGTTGATAGTTGTGTGCGTGCACTCGAGATAAAAATGGGACAAAAGATACAGAATGGGTCGCTGAGAATTATGCGTGGTGGTTGTCAAGACTGAGTGTTTGAGGTCGAGAACTTTTTTTTGCCGCCTTTTTCTTCTCCGCCCGACAATCGGTTCTGCCCTCCGCATCAACAGACACAATTCAACCAGCCGCAACAACCTCTCGGTCAGCCTCATATTCTACTACACCGGGCAACTTCCGCTTTCTATTACAAGCTCGGCCTCTCATCATCCAACAATCAAGCCACTGATCCTGCCACCCACCACCCACGCATCACCTCACCTCGCCTCGCACTCACTCCCATCCTCGATACCCCCAGTCGAGCCAACTCAATCCCCCATGGCCACACCATCTACATCCCCGGATGCATCCTCCACATCCTCACCCAAGAAATACAACCTCCGCAATCCCCTCCCACTCTCCGCCACCCAGGAACAAGAAGTGAAGCAGCTCTACTACAAGCGCGTACGGGGGTACTGCGCCGACGAGATCAAGGGTATGTATGCCCTTCTCTTTCTCTGTCGATTACATTGCCCTCTCCCTCAAATTGGCTCAATAATACCCGGGTCCTCACAATCTCACACCTCTCTAACAACCTATCAAACCAAAGCAAACCTTGCTAACACATTGACAATGACAGCCTTCGCCCAATGCGCCGTCAATCGTACCATCACAGCAACATGGGTCTGCCGGCAACAGCGTCTCGCTATGAACTCATGCATGCTTGCACACGCCAAACCGGAGGAGCAAGACCGCGCGCGTGAGGAGTGGTTTGCGACGCATGCGGAGCGGCGACGTGCGAAGGAAGAGGAGCTCGCGCGCGTTGAACAGCGGAGGGAGGAGGTGATTCGCATGATGCGCGAGGATGAGGAGCGGAGTCGGCAGAAGAAGGCTGCACGGTGATTGTTTTCATCTCTGTCTCTGCACTTCCCTTCTTTGACTCCTCCCCTCTCTTTTCCCCCCTTCTAAGCCTTGGACTAGGAGGTGGCTATGAATCTGGCCCTGACTCTGGCCCTGACTCTGGCCCTTTTGGCGTACAGTGGGATACAATAGGCGTTTACGGTGGGCATCTTTAGTCTCTTTTGCGTTGCATGGCCATCCTGTTTGAAGCGATGGATTGGAATTCTCCGATTTATGTACACTACAGTATACACAGATGAATTGCATGGAGATAAACTCATTCTCTCATTAGTGAATGATCTATAATCACAACTCCTTAGTGAAAATAGAAATCGAAGCCCTGTCATACTGTAAGAGAGGGTTACCAAAAGTGGTTAGCGCTACGGAGCTCCGACCGCCAACTTATCACCTCTTTCCTCTCGACTTCTTTCCTACCACCCTCCAACCTCCCACCATGGCGTCTCCCAGCCAGACACAGGGCTCAGCGCCGCCGACCAGCACTCCACCTGGCGATTCAGGTCCAGCAAACGGAGCCTCTGGCCCATCCACCTCGCAGGCCCAGGGCAATGCGACCACCACAGCCACGACCACGGCAGCCCCGATACCCGCGACAACCACGCAACCACCACAAATTCCCTCGACCTCTCTCCACGACAGCGGCAAGTCTCGCCGACCGCGCGACGTGCGCCTCGTCCACATGCTTCTCGCCTCGCTGGGGGTAACCGCGTACCAAGAGCGAGTGCCGCTCCAACTCCTCGATTTCGCATACCGCTACACATCGAACGTCCTCCAAGACTCCGTGCACCTCGCCACAGAAGGATACGCCAACGCTGGCGAAGGCACAACGGGCAAGGGGTCTAGCGGCGAGCTCAGCAGCGTGACTTTGCCCGCGTTGCGGCTGAGCATCGCCTCGCGCCTGCACTACCAGTTCCAGGCGGGGCTGCCGAAGGAGTTCCTGATGGATCTCGCGGCGGAGAGGAATCGGATTGCGTTGCCTGGTGTGTCGAGGGGGTATGATGCCGCTGCGCAGGCTGGTGGCCCTGCTGCTGCGGCGGACCAGAACGTGATCATGGCTGGTATTCGACTGCCGCCGGAGCGCTTCTGTCTTACTGGCGTCGGGTGGAATATGTTGGATGAATGGGATAGCGAGGGCGAGGTTGAGGAGGAGATGCCTGATGCACTAGAGAAGGGCAAAAATGAGGGTCCTGGCGGTGATGCGGCGGAGGATGCCGAGGAGGGTGGTGATGATGATGATGAGGATGGGAAGATGGAGGATATCTTCGGTGAGGATACCGCTATGGGTGAGGCTGGGGAAGATGAGGATCGGAAAATGACGGATGCTTGATTGTATTGCGGGATAGGCGGAGTTTTACTGGCGCTGGGTGTTTTCGGGGTGTGGCATCTTCTTTCTTCTACGAACAATGGGCTAGATTACCCTCAGGCTTGCCTGGAAAATATCATGGAACAAATCATACATTTTATCAGTCATTTGTATATGCGGTACATTACTAACTGACTGCGTACGTTGATACAGAGCAGAGCTTAGGGAATGACTTGACAGTCAAGAAATTGTTGTATATTCCCAAGTAGCCATTACCTGACCAGTCACTGCTCAGCAGGCAATTTCCCCGGCGAATTGGACAGAATCCACGGCCTCCTATCCCAGAACTCATCCTTAATGATATCAACATGATCAACCACAACCCTAGCTTTGCGGCGCAATTTCCGCAGCTTATCCTGCTGTGACCTCGATGGTTTAGACCCTGGCACCGCCGAGGAGGCACCACTACTGCCGTTATCGTCGGCAGATGTCTGCACTGAACTGGGGTCCTGCAATTCATACTGGATAGTAGCAGCGTGTGTCAGAGCATGTGCAGCAAAACTAAAACAAATACATATAACGTACCTGGCGGTAGACAACACTGCCCTTCTTATACATCTCGAGTTCGTTATTGTAGTTCATTCCGAACCGCTTGAAGAGGATCTCGTTCTTGTCTGATGACACGGTTCCCTGTGGTCAATCCAGTTAGGCTAACTTTTTGCTTTGAAATGAAATATATGATCCGACCACAAATGAGTATCGCATGCATACCTTTAGCTCCTGTTCCGCATCCGTATTGCTCATTCCACCTTGTTGGATCATTGTCCAAAAAGTCGTGTTGTAGAGATTGTTGATATGGCCTATGCAGCCAACCAAATCATATTATATTAGCGGGATATAAGAGAAAAAAGAAAATCCGCGGTAGCACTTACAATCAACCTGTCTCCAGCTCATGTAGTCGCGCAGAATCTGAGCATTCGGGTAAATCACTGCCCGCCCATCGAACGAGGGCAGATACCGCGGCTGGAGGGGCGTTGAGGGGAAATAAGTGTTCCATTGATGTATGTAGTGGGCTGTGAATGTAGAAACGATGGTAGTGACCAGTTTTCTAATCGAAGGAGATCAGATTTTTTCATCCATTCGTTCGGTAGACAGGGAAAGGAGGGACGCGGATGATGGTTGTTAAAACAGGGTGCTAAGGATGACTTACGAATTCCGTCGCTCGAAGAGCTCGCAGCTTGGATGGAAGACAAAACTATGAAATGTATCAGTCCAGAAGGGACAAAAACACACAGGCTGAGTCGGGTGAAACACACCTGTACTCGTCGCTGACGCCGTAGGCAATGCATAGATCCGGCAGGTCGTTCAGCACCTCTACGGCAGCGGCGTTCATCAGGTCCAGTGCGCGGCGGTCATTTGGTTTCTTGAATGCGTAGTAATCAGAAAGTCTGGAGCTGTCAGATATATGCATCAAATCCCGGTAGAGACAAGGGCAAGCACAATATTCAATATTTGCATGGCCATGAGTCAGTGGACATAGACAGGCTGATCGAATCACCCATCTTTGCTCACTGACAGCGCACGCAGCTAATATTGACTCGGCTCATAAAACAGGATAGAGGGCGCCTCACTTGTGGAATCCCCTTCCATCAATCCGAACGACAATCCATGTGTTGGGCAGCAGGATGTCTGGCTGCTCGAAGGACTTGACGTACTCATATCTGAGCTTTGGTCAGGAATGATCCAGGGGAATGAAAGTGTTTGTAGTTTCTTACTTTGAGTTTGCCATCTTTTCTTTTTCTTTTTCTCTGTCTATGGTTTCGGGATGGAGGAATGTGGATGATTTACTGAACCGGGTCACATGACCATCTGATTGGATCCAACCCTACAATTTCGAACTACCAAACTACTGGGGACGAATACTACTTGCAGTGAATTGGAAATTCCAAGAACAGTCATAATATTCCGCGTGCATCCACTAGAGTATAAATCTCAGGTCGTCACCTCCTCCGGGATCTCCTCATCACCCGTTTCACTGGCGAGCTCGCTCGTCTCACTGGCCTTGTCGGATTTGCGAGACTTGCGGGAGAAGAAGCCCAGGCTGCTTCGAGTCGACTTGTCTGCAGACGGCACACTGGAGACAGTGCTGTCCACGCTCTTCCCGAGCTGGGCTTCGCTGGCGCCATCCTCGTCAATGTCACCCTGCTGCGAAGACTCCCCCTTCTTGGAAAAGAAACCAGAGCGATCTTTCCACGAGCTGAATTTTCCAGAGCTGCCTTTGCGAGTAATCTTACGGATGAACGACTCCTTCGAGGCATTGTCCACGGACGTACCGGAAGGCAGGCGCTCCAAAGACTCGTATGAGTCGCCGGTGAAATGAGACAGGGACCGAGAATCGCGGGAGATGCGAGACTCCGAAGGGGAGCCATCTTCCAGATCAAGGGAGGCATCGGTTTCTTTATCCTTGTCCTTGTCCGATTTCTTGCCAGTGAAGACCGTCCTGAATGTCGGCGCAGCCGGGTTCAGTTTCGGATTCGGCGTGAGTGGCCGGTGGGATGAGGAAGGGCGAGTGCCAATCGGAGCCTGGAGCGGCCGAAGCGGCCGATCAAACGAATCCTCGACAAAATCGGAATCGCCAGTCAGGCCTAACGGGAGGTGGCCAGACGATCCGTATGAGATGGAAGGCCGACGGGAAGGGGCTCGAGACCAAGTTGACGGAGACGCCCAATCAAGACCAAGAGGACTGGTTCGATGCCCAGCTTTCTCTGTCGACGGCCAACCGAAATGTCGGTTGTCCGTAGAGGGGTGAGGGAGCTGGTTCTGGTTGTCAAAGGAGAACGTAGACGATGGCCGTGGAGACAGGGAACCACGTCGGACGCCGCCGAGAAGTGATGAAGGATCAATGGGGTCATGTCGCGGGCTGAATTGATCGTAGCCATCGGTATTCGCACGTCCGGCATTTCCAAACCCAAACTTGCTCGTGGAGAAGATGCTCGAAAAAGCCGCTCGTCGGGAGGGCGGGTGGTCAGACGAACTGTCCGCGGTGGCTTCGGCAGTGTTGCTTCGCGGGAACAAAGACATCGGACTAGCCCAATTGCCAGTGTAGCTCAACCGCCGACGTCGTGAGCCAATTGGGTCCATCTCATCGATATTTCGCGGGAAGGACTGACTCTGTCCTGGTTTCAAAGTGCCAAGCATAGGCGATTCATCTGCCAGAGTCTTTCCTCGAGGTCGATGAAAGCCGAACAGGCCGGAAAGCCGCCGAGAAGCGCTCTTTGGTGGCTCTGACAGTTGACCGGGCTCAGAATCCTGTCGGGCTGAGGTGCCGAGTGGGCTGGCGAAGATACTTCCAGGTCGACTCTCTGAAGAGACCGGCGATACCGGCCCGTGTCCAAAACCGTCCAGCGGAGGGGGGTTAGAGTCAAACCGTGGTCGGATAACAGGGCGCGGGAATTCGGGCGACTCTTCGTCCCCGAGGAGATCAGACGGCAGAAGAGCATCAGCACGAGGGCTCATCTGAGGGTTATTGAAAGTTGTCTCCATGTCTGAGCGCATGATCTCCGGCGGGTCTAGATTCGGCAGAGCCATCCCATTATGGATATTGAAGAAGGCAGAGTTCGGCGCAAAAGTTGGCGAGCTAGTGGAAGGTGGATTGTAATTGATGGAGAATGATGGTTCGACACTGGCGAAGTTCACAGGGGACGAGACATTGCTGTTGAGTGAGCTGCGATGGCGGCGGGGGCGAATGGTGGCAGTATTGGACAAATCGAGATCCAATGGAAATGGGCCCGCGCTGCTAGGTCGTTGGGTGGAAAGCCACTTGACTCGCTCCTGGGCTTCCTGATACTGCTGCTGAGCTTGCGTATGAATGTTGACGAGAGTAGCATATCGGGCCTGTAGACTGGCCAATTTAGCCTCCCACTGGCGGGCTCGCTCGTTGTCTATTCGGTCCAACTCTTTGCCATCTTCAGTATCACCCTCCTGGAATCGTGTCCTTTCTTCCTCGAGCTTCTTGATGCGTCCTCCTTTGTCCTGGATCTCGTCATCGATAGTTTTCATCTCCGCTTGCTCATCGGCAATCTTCTTCCGAACTTCATCCGCACGGGTTTTCCCGTCCTCTTCCAGACTCATCTTGTCCTGCTTGGCCTGCTCCAGGTCGACGGTCATGCGAGTGATCTTCTCCTGCCATCGCACAATATCGTTCTTGCGCTTCTTGCGCTGGGCCTCCTTCTGTTGAAGCAGCCTCACGCGCTTCGTCTTTTCGCTCTGCACAGTGCGGTTGACACTCTCCAGCTTGTAGACGTGTTTCTTGAGGTCACCGCTGGCCTCGTCCTTCTCCTTAACACTCTTCTTCAATTCGTTGCGCTGCTTCTCGAGTTCCTTGAGCAATGCGATGTGTTCGTCCTCCTCTTCCGCAGCCTGCTTCTCCAAGTTATCGTTCTCCTGCTGCAGTGACTTCAGACGATCGGCGAGTTGCTCGAGAGATCCACTCTTGTCGTTCCTGACCGCGCTTCTCTGCGTGTCGTCTGCATGGCCAGTCTCAATTGTTCCGGCAGCAGGCGATAGCTTCCGCCCTGTCGATGGCCGTTTGCCCGGTATTGGGCCGGCACTGTGTTCACGAGACATCACTGGAGCCGAAGGAGTGGGCAGGCCCGCTGTCGAACGGGGAATCGATGCCCGGATCGTGGGACCGTCGACTGGGGCAGTTTGTTGCGCTTGGGAGAGCGGGAGAGATTTGGTTCGCACGTGAAGGACGGCGCTGGGCGTTTGAAAGTTCGCTGCGCTCACTGAGAAAACACAGATATGGTAAATGCTGCCTGGTATGAGATTTAAAATCTCTACTGCTGTCTCCGCTCGTTTAGACTCGCCCACTGGACAGTTGTCAGCGCCAGCCGGGAGATTCGCGCTGATCCAATACAAACCTTTAACATTGTTCACTTGAATGATATGCTTATGTATTGAGTTGTGGAAGTCAGGCTGCTTCCAAGCAAGGCGGATCTCACGGGCGTTGATCTCCTCGAGGGTGACCTCTGGGGGCGGAGGAATATCCAGGCCCAGTTTCTCCACCAGGACATCGTTAGGAGTTTGGCAGACCTGCCATGCCCGGTACAGGAGCCTGTGCGACGAGGTTAGTCCAGGGTGTTTGGGCGAGCAGACATAACGGGACTCACCAGATCAGGGCCCACAAGATCGAGGCCGCCAGAAAAAGCGCCATGACGCCTCGCACCCTCACTCGGGGAATGACAGTTGGGTAGGTGTCAAAGGCAAAATACAGCGGCTCGTACATCCCAGCGTCGGGCACCCATGGACGCGGGCAGCGGGGGGTGGTCAATGAGAACAGGCAGGAGCAGAGAGTCTCTGATTGATTAGCCATCGAGTGGGACGGATGGGTCAGGTGACCGACCCTTAGTCAGGGCCCAGTGCTGATGTAAGATGCCTCGGCCCCAACCGTCCCGGGTGTGTTGGGTGGTTGAATGAAGAACTAAATGTTGGGTGGACAACTCTTCCTCGACCACCTAGTACGGACTTTCTTACTTACTGTTGCGGTGTTTCTGGCCCTTCACTACCATCCCCCCTGCCACTCTTTTTGTTTCTTCTTCCCTTTCTGGTTATGAAGCGGCCAGCCCTCCCTGTCGGCTGATCACATGGGCCGTTTGGCAACGGGCCAACTTCCGACTTCCAACGACGAGCAATCCTTTCCGTCATCTTGCTGATCACCTTTGTCCTCAATCCTTCCCCCTCCTGTTGCGGTCTTCCACGGTGTTGCGACACCCCTAGACGACATGCAGTACGTCCGGAGCATCAGCGGCTCTGTCTCCAAGACATGGAACTCAATCAACCCGGCGACGCTGAGCGGGGCTATTGATGTGATTGTCATCGAGCAGGAAGATGGTATGATAACGTGGGGCCAGAACTACAAGGAACAGACTGACAGTCTCATGGCAGGAACCCTAGCCTGCTCGCCCTTTCATGTCCGCTTCGGCAAGTTTTCGCTCTTGCGTCCGTTTGAGAAGAAGGTGGAGTTCAAGGTCAATGGAGTGAAACAGGAATATGCAATGAAACTGGGTGAAGGTGGTGAGGCCTTTTTCGTGTTTGAGACAACCGACGACATTCCTGCATCCTTGCAAACATCACCGCTAGTGTCCCCGGCTGGTAGCCCAAGGCCCGAGAGCGCGGAGGACCTGCCATCGTCCTTGCAAGAACCAGAGTACTTGGACCTTGACCGGTCCAACACGGATGCTCTGTCAGAGGGTAGAAAGACACCACCTGGAATTGTGATGCAGCAGAATACGGGAAGGGCACATACGGATTTAGGTATGATGGGAACCTAACCACCTCGGAAATTTGTTACTCATTCTGCGCTTAGGTGTGATTACACCTCTCTCACGGTCTCCCGATGATTCCGATTTGCGCCACTCTCACCACGACTCGTTGGCTAAGCTACCAATGTTCGAACACTCAGTGTCCGAGGATGTACTTTCAACCAGCGCTCTTCGATCAACCACAATGGAACGTTCGCCCCCCAGTGGCTCGGCTGAAGCAACCGACGAGGGCCTTGGAACACAAAGTCGTTCCCGCAGTCCTCCCCCGATGGACCCCCGGGAGGCTGTCTCCCGGGCAATGAACTTGTCCAAGAAGCTATCGAGTTCAAATATCCCATCGCATGTCACTGACACGGGGGATCTCATGTTGGATATGACAGGCTATAAGAGCAACGAAGAAGATGCACTTCGTGCAGAGGTGGTTGCCCGCAAGATCCTGGCTGAAGAACTGGAAGGCAACTACGACATCGGTGCGCTTATTGGAGCTGACGAGCATGGAAACCTGTGGATCTACAGCAGTGAGGAAGCCAAAGAAGCAGCAGACCGGAGGGCGACCATCAACTCTATGCGGCCTAACACTGCGATGAGTGAGGATGCGGTCTCGGATCCAGGTTATCACAGCGAGGGTGAAAATCCTCTGTCGGAAACGACGCTGACACGGCATCACCGAACCAAGTCGGACGTCCAGCCTGGCTTTCCAACACCTCCTCATTCGCCCATGCAGGATACGTTCGCCGTTGAGACCCGAAACTACGCGAAGACGCTGCGCTTGACCAGCGACCAGCTCAAGGCCCTGCAGCTCAAACCAGGAGCCAACATCATGTCGTTTAGTGTCAACAAAGCGACCTGCACGGCTGCGATGTATCTCTGGAATGGTAACACGCCCATCGTGATCTCTGACATTGATGGAACCATCACCAAGTCGGATGCCTTGGGCCATGTTCTCAACATGATCGGACGCGATTGGACCCATGCGGGAGTTGCGAAATTGTATACGGACATCGTCAATAACGGGTACAATATCATGTATCTTACGAGTCGCTCTGTGGGCCAAGCAGACACAACACGTGCGTATCTTCATGGTGTCTGTCAAGATACCGGGTATCGGCTCCCCAAGGGCCCTGTTATTTGCAGTCCGGATCGCACGATGGCGGCGTTGAGACGAGAGATCTATCTGAGAAAGCCGGAGGTTTTCAAGATGGCTTGTTTGCGAGATATTCTTGGCCTTTTCTCTGGAAAGGAAAACCCATTCTACGCCGGCTTTGGAAATCGGCTGACAGACGCCCTGAGCTATCGATCCGTGAACATCCCGTCCACGCGGATCTTTACTATCAACTCCAACGCCGAGGTGTCCCTGGACCTGCTGAGTCTCACTAAATATAAGAGCAGCTACGTGACCATGCAGGAACTTCTTGATCATTTCTTCCCTCCAACTAGTCTGCTGGTGCAGGCTGGCGGTGAAGAGTACACGGACTTCACCTACTGGAGGGAGACACAGCAAGAGTTGGCGGATTTCTCTGCAACAGACAGTGAAGACGAGGAAGAGGAAGAAGACGAGGTTGCCGACGATGAAGAGGATGAAGAGGCAGATGATGAAGAGTACGAAGACGAACCGAGCGATGGCGAGGGCAGCGAATACCTTGACGATGAGACGGGAATTGCAGAAGAGGACGCCGCGGACATGACTGCGAGTTACATGTCTCAAGACTCGGTGGCCATCTCCAACCCGGCCGGCTCGATTATTGAGTCTGTGGAAGGCGGTCCGGACCTTGAAGAGGGTGTGGCCGGCGTGCAAGTTGAGTCGCAAGAACCCACCGACCCTGCGCGTGCGACTTCTCTTCCTCTCCTTCCCAAATCACCACGAAAGCCTTGATTCACTATCTTTGAATTACCTGCAAAGAGTACTGGGATTCTGTTTCTGCTCATAGATACACGTTGTCATTGTGCGAGTTTATTTGTCGAGCCAGACCTGCATTCACTCTGCCCACTGTGGTGTGGCAGTGTTATACCTTGTTCAACACTTGCATGCAGAATGGGCTTTGCATTATACACGGCCACTCTGACTGAACTGATTTTTTGCATTGATGGCGTTTTGCATTTTTGGGGGAGTTGTACATTGTTGATGGCGCATTGTGTGGATGTATGGACTTTGATTACGGGGGTGATTAATGCGCAACGGAGGAATGGAACTGACGTTAGGATCGAGGCACTGTAATAGAATGCAAATATTCATTATGAACTTAAGGGTATCTTTCTATGACAGAATAGAAGCCAACATGCCGCCTATGTACAAAACGACCACACCAAGGCTGGCTGATGGAATATGGCTCCTCTAGGTATGCTGCAAAAAATCAAGCACGCAACACAATGCAAATCAGACATCTTTAGACTTGGATGTCTTCTTGTCTTTTTTGTCCTTTTTGGACTTTTTCGTCACCTTGGATTCAACATCCGCCCCGCTTTCTTTCTTCTTGGACTTCTTGCTCTCTCGGGATGTCCGTTTCGCTTTGCTGTTTTTCTTCTCCTTTCTCCGTGCCGAGTCGTCATTCGTCGTAGTATAGTCCAGCCGGTCTGGATCCGAATCGGTATCCGTTGACATGGGCGTGGGATAATCTCCCTCGATGGCCGACAGCTCGACGCTTTTTGCTTTCTTTGAAACATCCAGGGCACCGTCACCATCTAATTTGCGCCTTTCTTTCTCCTTCTTTTCTTTCTTCTCCTTCCGCCTCAACCGCCGCTCCTCTTTGCTTTCTTTGCATTTCTCTGAATTGGAGGTCTCACTCGACGACTGCGCGGAGCCAGTCTCCGCAGTCCCATCTTTGAGCTCGCGGCGCTTCCGCTTCTCCTCTTTGCGAGCAGCTTTCTTCTCTCTCTTGGCCTGGCGGTCCTCATCATCTTCGGCCTCCCTCTTCCGCTTTGACTTCACCTTCGCTTCAGCCTTCTGCTGTTCTTCTTTCCTCTCCGTAATCGTTCCAGCCAGCCCTGTGCCCCGCACGAAGAACCGGTACAGCTCGCTGGTCAGCGCATTATTCGACCGATCCACATCAGCATTTTCTTCGCCGATGCCCTTCAGCGCATCCTCGAATCCGCGCAACCACCACTGGTTCGTCGGATCCTTTGTCGTCTTTTTGCCCACCCCGTGGTTGTTCTGTTTGCGGGCGACGAGAATCGGCCGCGTGAGGCCCAATCCGCCGTGTGGACCGGGTCGCTGGTTCGGGTTGAGAGGGTTGCCGGGGCCGGACCAGCCGTGGCGTAGTAGGTAGGCTTGTGCATCCATCGGGTGATAGGGGTTTGTGTTTCTTCTTTGGGCGGAGGGAATTGGAATCAAGTCAGGGTACTTCGGGTGGTGTTTTTTGATTTCTTTGGCGAAGGCGGAGGCTAGCTCTGCAAGACTTGAGAAAACAAAGGGAATGCTGTTTATGATTTCATTTGTTCCATCTCCTTATAAGTAACCGAGAGGAAAGGCGCACTTGGACAATGGTGTGTTGTTGGTTGTCGAAAAAAAGTCTGGATCGGCAAAAAGTTGGATGGTCTATCACGTGACCAAAGGACCGTCGATAATGGCCTCGGGGAGTGGATGTAGTTGCTGATTTTCTATTTCAAGTAGTTTATGGTGTCCGAATGTCAAGAAAGTAAATCCAAAGGTTTATTGACAACTTGACAGGATTCAGATTGATATCGACAAAAAAGTTACTGTCCGGAGGGCAATGATAGTATACACTATCATTGCAAAAACATTGATTAGGCTGGGGTTCGATCCCAGGACCTTGTCGGTGTGAGCGACACGTGATAACCAACTACACCACCCAACCAATTGCTGACAGGATTGAGGAATTTTTGTAATTCAGTTCAATTCGTTTCGACCAATTGCAAATAAGGCTGGAACCAAATATGAACAACTTTGTTGCTTTGCTTTGTAGGTAGAGATAGGGAAGTATAGTAGATATCCAGTTGGCCTTATTAA